TGTGCCACGTGATTTAGATTAGCTAATTAGCTGATTTAGATTTAGGATTTCCTGCTTTCTAGCGAATATAAATCGTGTGGCACAGCTGATCGTCGGAAATACCGGTTTGGACAAACCATTAGCTTTTATTAGTACCGGTTCGCCCGAAGCGGTAGCATTTCACCCCTGAACATTATCCTTTAAACTCATGGACTAAGCTGGCTGGAAAGAATTGGATTTTCAGCTAGTAATTTATCCTGCTCTCCTAGACTGTTACTGGGATTATGGGTATTCCTGACCAAATCTTAACTGGATGTTTTCTGTTCCATTGGGTGCATTAAAGATTGATCACAATAATTTTGTTTACACTGATGCTAGTGCATTCTTCTTTGCATAAATTCTCACTTGAGCATGGTAATGGATTTAGGGCATGAAATTTGATTTGAGCTGAAAAAGTTTTAATGTATTAGGGATCCACTTGTGCAAAAGAAGAGCTTTATAAAACCTGAAGATCTAATCACTATATGATTCTGGGCATTTAGATGCCTTTAAAGTAGAAAACCATCCCATGGTATTTAAAAGCTCTATTTTCTACTGTTTTTACACTGTGCAGGATGGCTGTCTTAGGAAAATAAGAATTTTAGATTTTTCAAAATTAAAAAACAGTTGATTTTGTCTGCAGCACCAAAATATTATTGCCATTTCCCTTTTCAACCCTATTGGGTTTTGTGAAAATTATGGTGACATCAGCATAGAGGAGTATAGGGATGTTTCATCCTGCTAGTCTAGGACATAAATGTCCCAGTTATAAAGAAAGGTGCACCATTGAATAGACATATACGTAAAAAAGAAAGGGGCAAGAATACACCCTTGTTGCACTCCTTTCTGGACCCTTCCTGTGCTAGAAGATTTCTTGGGGAATATACACCTCCAACAGACTTGCTTTTTTTGTGATGGAAGAAACAGGTTTTCTTGCTGACTTTGTTTTAAAATATCCATTTATGATTTGCTCTGTCTGACCTCTGTCTAGTTAGAGGAAATTGCACTTAAAAATTGTTGTGTGTTAAAGCATGGTATTAGTTTCATGCATAGATTTTATTCATGAAAAAAAAGTGTGTGTATTCAAATTTGTTCATAAATTTCTGTGTACATACTTTGTGTCCTAGAATTGCAGTGTAATTTCAGGGAACAGTTCAAAATATGTTACCAGTAGTGCTTTAGAAGAGATTGACCTAATTTCTTTTCATTAGTACATATTATGCTGTACGGATTATGTACCTAATTTCAAGAGGTAGTAGTTTGGTGCAGTGTATTGTCCTCCTGATGAAGGAAGGCTATAGTTAAAATTTTGGTGACCTTGTTCTATAAAAAAATAAAATACATTTGTTTCACTTTCTGAACAGATTTCATATATTCACTGGTTATCTGTGTTATTATCTGTTTATTATTCATCTAAATTAGCCATCTTTAATAGAAGCTTCTTGAGCTATATTTTGCAAACATAGTGCTTAGTGAAAAATAAACAATCAGATTAAAAAATATACCTTGTTATTAACTATATGTAAACGACATAGCTAAGACTATGGCATATATAGTGTTAAAGGATAATTATATTTTCCTTCCCAATTCTCTGTAATTTACTATAGATATTAAACTAATACAATTTATATAAGCTTTGTCCCCAGAAGAAGAGAAAATTGCACCTAATTTTTACTGATAGGGGTCTAGGAAGCAAAGTAATATATTTTAGGTGATTCTCAGTCAATAATCAGTTCAGATCTCAATATCATAGTTACATTAATTGGATCACATCCAATTTGGAGTTACTTGATCACACCCACATTTTTTCCAGGAAGTGCTTTTTATCCATTAAGCTTTTGCACCTGATAGTTATTAGGAAAGCTTTATGATATCACTAGCTGCTTTCCCATTAAAAGGCAGCAAATCATTGGTTTGACTCCTCTATTTAATCTATGTTTTAATAGAATTATAGGGTTGGAGGGACCTTGGATGTCTTTGGATAGAGTATTCTGTGCTATCCTAAGTTGGCAGGGAATTCTGCAATGAAGTGGCTTGCTTTTTCAGTCATTCTTCTGATGGAGGACTGACATCTCTCTGAAAAGAAATACAACAGTGTGTTTAATTATAATGGCACTGAAAAAAGTGACTTATGATCATTTTTCACACTTATGAAAAATGTTGCAGCATCTCCACATTCATGTGATAAAAATTCAGACATCTGGCAAATTATTTATGACAGTTGTAGTGTCCCGAGATCAAGTGATCCCCTTTTGTGACCTTCTGATTAGCAAAATCAATGGGGAAGTCAGATTCACTTAACAATCATGTTATCAATTTAACAACTGATTCACTTAACAACTGTGGCAAAAAAAGATCAGAATGTGACATAAGTCATTTAACAAATGTCTCACTTAGCAACAGAAATTTTGGGCTCAGTAAGTTGAGGACTACCTATAACCCTGAAGCCAGAACTGTGATTGGGCAATTAGTTGTTTCATCTAAGCTTCTCTGGACAAAGAGAAGCCAAAGAAATTTTCCACGTCTGCTCCAGAATGTAGCTCCTCATGTGGAAGTCTGCAGAATCCAGAAAGACTGTGTAGGCACTTTGTGAGTAGGAGCACTGGAAGTGAAAAAAGATCAAGCTTTAGTATTGTGAGCCACCTAGAGTTGTTTAAGATGGGCAACCATATAAACCTTTTAAATAAACATGCAAGGAATTTTAACTCCTCAAAGTTAGCTAAATAGAACAATTGGTCCTTCTTTGATGTTACCACAACACTGTCCTCCCACTGCCTCAGTTAAGCAAATTGTATGAAGAAGGCACACATATGACAAACATTCTAGAATAGGGGTGTGAAACTCAAGGCATGTGGGCTGGATCCGGCCCTTGATGTGGCTAGATCTGGCATGTGGGACTGCCTTTGAGACAGTGAAGGACTGGCCTGTGGCACCTCATCCCGGGCCCAGGCTGGCCAGGCGGTAATCTATAACTTGATGGCTGTCATCCGGGCCAGAACACAATCAGCCTTTGACCCGCGGGGTCACCCAGGAGCTGGTGAGAAATCACCCTGCTCAATCCTGCTCTCCAGGTGCTTGCTGCCTCCTCTGCGCAGACCCAGGTGGCAGGGATAAGTTGGTGGGGATGGCCCCTAGCTGGCTCCAGCACGGCCCCACAGATTTAACGCTCACCATGTTCCAGACTGGATGGCCGCCATCCAGTTATAGATCAGCGCTGCACCCACCACCAGCACCTCCATGTCCTGTGTGCCAGACTGGCCTTGCAGCCCATGTGGCTTCCCTTTCACTGGGACCGCCCCTGCCCTGCCCCAGGTGGGAAAGCCATAGACGCAGTAAGCATAACCACTGGCAGTACTGCCAATCTCTCTCCCTCCATTCATCTCTTCCTGAGTGCAGAGGAAGGACCAAGATGGGAATGGGAAGGAGGGAAGCAGGGAAGGAAGGAAGCAAGGAGGGAAGGAAGCAAGCACAGAAGGAAGGAGCGGAGGAGGCAGTGTCTCCGGCTTGTAAGGGTCCCTTCTCTGACTTTGGATTTGTCTTTTCTCTCTCTGTGTGTGTGTGTGTGTGTGTGTGTGTGTGTGTGTGTGTGTTTCTCCCCTTCTTCTTCTGCCTTCCTCTGATTTCTTTTTTCTTGGAAACAAAGGAGGTGTAGGGAGGAGAGATGGGATTGTTCCAAGAAGTGAGACCTCAAAATTAAAAGAAGAGCTTTTCAAATCCTTAAAAAGTTATGATACCGATCCTGGGCCAACAATTTCTCTTTTTCTTTTGGGAAAAAACAAGCAGCAAGCATCTGAATGGGCATCCCTGGCTCTTGATATGAGCCACATTTAAAAATCAGGAGGGGAGTCACCTTCTCCTCCAGGAAAGGGAAGGGAGGGGGAAGAGGAAAGGAAGGAAGGAGATGGGAATGAGAAGGAGAGAGGGAGAGAGGGCAAGGAGGGAGGAAGGAAGGAGGGAGATGGAATGAGAAGGGAGGCAGGGAAGCTGGCCATGCCCACTCCGGCAATATCCACCCTAGCCATGCATCTTCCCCCAAGTCAACCGCAACCCTGATGTGGCCCTCAATGAAATTGAGTTTGACATCTCTGTTCTAGAACAATTATCAATCAGAGTCAGGCAGCATATGAATTTAAGAAATTATCATTGTTGTTAATTATATGTTAAAAATATGGAGCTCAAAAGCAAAATAGAAAAAATTTTATTTAACAGCTAATACTGGTAGTTTAAATGGGGCATAGATAAAATCAAGAAATTAATTACATTAATAAATATCTGAATTACATTCTCTGTTCAGCATAATAAAATTTCATATTTTAAAATTTCCAATTTTCAGAAACAGGTCTGATTAGAGTGCATTAGAATCATCTGGACAGAATAATGGTACATTATAAAAATGGCTGGAAATTTTTTATCACTTAAATAAAAAGGATAGAAAATTTACCTAAAAGAGATTTTGAAACTTGAATTTATTTGAACTAACCTTGTTAAAATTATATATACAACTTTACTGAGAAAATGGGTTTATTTAATAAAGACTGTTATGAAAACTCTGAATATTTTAAGTATATGATTTATTATTATTATAAAGTTGATATGGTAACTCAGTTGATTTTTTTTTTTTTTAGCAAAGTGACCTGATAGCTACACAAATGGCTATAATACATGGAAGTATGTTCAGATGTGAAAAATTAAAGATTAAAAAGAAAAACACGCAGAGGTTATATTTCAAACAAATAGCTTTTAAGAAATATAAAAATAAGTGTTGAGTTGTGCTTTTTCAATGGGGACAATCTCAATCTCTTAAATTTTCTTAAACCCCTAAGAATGGTTTTTAAAAAATTGATGATACATTAGAAAATGTTTTTCAGACACAAAGAAACTGTCTTAAATATTTTTAATGCTTGAATTTTTATTTTTACATTTTGGAATTTGAATCAAATATCTGTAGTTAGTAATAATGAAATTTTAGCCTTCAAAGAATAATATTTCAGTTAGGAGGCTGTTTTAGTTACTGCTGTAGCTAAATGCTAAGTCACAAACCACATAGTTTCAGCTCCTTTTTTGGTGTTCCCTCTGTGGGAATTGAAGCCATGCCATGTTCCTCAATTCTGTTATTCTGTGACCCTGTGCTGGTTGTAGTTACTGGCTTGAAAGAATAAGTATTTCTGTGAGATAATTGGCTGCAGCAGTGAGTTTTGTAGCAGTATACATCTATGTTGGATATAATGTTATAAAAAGGTTATGTTTATGTACAGTCTGATATCTTGAAGCACATTACACTGCAGTCTTCTACAAGGACATTTTCTTTTTCTGCATCAGCATGGAAGCAATGCATCTAGACAGAGAGCTGCTACCTGTATGTAAATATATTTTTTCCTTTTTATCTTTTCACCTTGCTAACATAGAGGTTATTCTTCATAGTTTACCTTCCCAATGTGTATACTTATTTATCATCTGAAAAATGGTGCAAAATGTTAATAGTAAATTTCAAACTGATGAAATTCACAAATACAAATTCATCATCATAACCTTAATGATGTACTGCAAGTTGTTTTTAGATGCAGAAAGTTAAGTGCATTAAAAATCTTTGAATGAAATGCTTTTTGTACTGCATATTAGCTAACATCTTTTCAGTGAAGGATGGGGGAGGGTTATCTATTATAGTGGCTTTTTGAATAGCAATTAATAGAGGAATATTTATCTAAAATATGTTTCCATTAGGATTTCTTTATCATCCTTCCTTTGAATTGCTTTCTTAAAAATTGGCACATCTCATTTTTGTATCCTATAAAAAGATTATTGATTTTGTGTGTTTTGCTGTAAATGATTTTTAGTATGATAACACTCTAGCTTGAATTCTTATTGAAAATGTTGTATGAGTATTTATATCACTAAAAAATTTGATTCAGATGTCATAAAAGAATAGTCATCATTATCTCAATAGGTAGTAAAGAAGGATGTGTTTAACCAGAATAAATGTATTGCAGCAGTTGTTTATAAATATGTAATTTAACAGGATTATGCCACATATGAAGGCATTTTTTAATTTACTTTCCTGCTATTTTCTTTTGAAAAGCTTATCCCTTGAGCTGTATTCTGATCAAGCAACAAAAAGTATACTTGCTTGCTACCATTATTTTTTCCTGTAACATAAGTAAAAATAACCTTTCAAAGTATACTATGTAGTCAGTAAGGGACAGAAGGTTCAAATGACAAACACTGTAAACAAAATTGAAAGCTTCCTCTCTTTAGTGTCAGTAACTATATAGCATCAGAGTCTAAGTTAATATATCCAAGGTACTATTGGAAAAAAATTAACTTATCAAATTTTGCCCTTAAGATGGATTCTGATCCATTTTGAATATGGGTTATGTTATACTTCCTTATAGTCTCTGATACTTATTTTGGAGGGTAGGTTACAAAAACAATATTCAACAATAACTGCTCAGATAAATGCCATCAATCAATCAAACAGTACTTAAAGCCTAATGAAATAACAAGGTTTACATGATTTTCTGGCATGTAAGCAAGGACACTAATTGAGCCTTTGGGAGAAGCATGTTTCATAATGAAGGAGACCCCACAAATAAGACATGAAATTTCATCCAGGTCCTATGAATTTCCCAGGGAGGAGGGGCTTTCATGAGATGATTGGACAAGCAGAGAACCCCTGCTTAGGCAGGAAACCCTACCACTTCAGACAAATAGTTATCCAATCTCTTCTTAAAAACTTCCAGTGTTGGAGCATTCACAACTTCTGGAGGCAAGTTGTTCCACTGATTAATTGTTCTAACTGTCAGGAAATTTCTCCCTAGTTCTAGATTGCTTCTTTCCTTCGTGTTGTAATGACTTATTATTAGAGATAATTATTACCCTAATGTTGATTAGAAGCTAATGCAAAGTGAGCGCAGCCAATTCAAAATTAGTGTTATTGCAGTGGTGGGATTGTTCCAGCAGCAAGTCTGTCTGCTATCTTAAGGATAGGGCTCTTATTTTTTCACCTCAATTTTTCTCTCACTACAGAAATGATAACTTTATGGAGTGTATTCTTTAGAAATGTGATTGCCTGAATAGCTGATTCTACCATTTTATTCTTGTTTAAATTACTTCTTAATGACTTATTTTGACTTGTGGATATCCATAAGTAATAATAGATCCTTAAACATAGGAAGGATGAAAAAGAGCACTTCTAAGTTAATAGAGGCTTTGTTGAAAAGTTTTCTCCAACCTATATTGGTTGCAGTATTCTGTAATGGAGATTTCTGAGTTAGTTTGAACTGTTGATTTTGTGAGTTCTGATTCTCCCAGATCTTTACCCTGCTAAATGAGCCAAGAGGTTTAAAAATAGCTGTGGCTTTAAATCTGAGAAAAGCAGGTTTCTAACACGTGTATGAATCTTTAGAATAACATTGGAAAGAACACTTGACAAAAAAGAAAAAAACTTTTCTTTCTAGCTTTAAGAAAAATGATACTACTTTTGACAGTTTAAAACTGCAGAAAGCATTTAAAAGCAGATTTAGATATAGCCTTGATTACTATTATTCCCTCATGTTCTGTATAACTTGGCAAATCAATGAAAATGCAAGGGAAAAGAAAAAGTAACTTGATGAAAAGACTAATACAAAATTCAATTTAAAAACACTGTAATCTGTGGGAAATTTCTAAAATTGAGAAATTAGTCTACAAACCAGCTTTATTAATTTTATGAATGATGAAATTGGTTAGAAATTGGTTACTTCATAGATTGTTATATCTATAGAGTACATGTTATATACTTTGCAACTGTAAGTTGTGAAGTGACTTAACAGATATAATGCAGCTGAACACTGGGAAATGTGTAAGGCACAGTATATTTAGTTCAATTTTTTTTTATGTGTGAAAAAAATTCAAGCTATATTAACTTTGTTTCTAGCTTGTTAGACGAGATGTTCACAGCAAACTATTATAAAATCCTAGAAATGTTTTATAAGTGTTAAGCAATAAATACCAAATCTGTTTTTGTTAAATACATGTTTTATAAAACATCAACATCAGTGCAGATTTAGATGGAAATTATTATCAGACAGTTAAGTGTTGCAACTAAGTACTACAGATCCATCATTCTTATAATTAACTGTTTCAAACATTATATCTGTTGGGTGGATAGATAATTTGAGACTGTTCTATAATTCTGGATTTGCAAAGGTGATAAAGTTAAGGCCTACAGTTTAGAAAAAACTAATTAAAATTATGTTATTGGTTCATGTTACATTCAAATGAAAACCAATGTTCTACCTTTGTTTCAAATTTTCTGTGATGGTGAGATAGGAAACTCTTGGTTGTGTTGTATTATTTCAGGTATTTATATTAAAAAATAATATATAAGTGGAAGTTAGGCATCTGCTGTTACTTAAGCGCCCTTATAGCATATATCTATCCTAAGACGTTGAAAAAAGACTTAGTTGGAAAAATATGCATATTTGGGGAAATTGATGAATGCATTCTGCTAGCTAACTTTTCTCACTATACTTTTTAAAGTATTTGAATACTGCAGTAGTTTCCCTAATTCTCAAAATTAAAAGTACCTTATGATAATTATCCTTCATGAGACTGGAAACTGTTGTATAATGTTGGCTAATATATATTCAAAGTGAACTTCTAACTAATAAAAAAATGTACCGAAATAGTTCATTGAACTATGAAGCATCTAATGTACATTTTTAAGACTAAATAAATGTTCTTCTTAATTCATATTTTCTTTTTTAATCCAATTCTTAAGTAATATATAATTGTAGTTTGTGATTAAAAATATATTTACAGACCTTTTATCATCTTTCAAAAAGCTTAGATTGATCTAAACAATTATCCTTAAAGCAACTGTGTAAAGTTAAACTGAGCAGTCATGATGGGCTATGGCTGAGATTATGTTGTGAATGTCAAGGCTGAATACTGATCTGAAAAGAATCACCATAATCTGGTCTGAAACTTCTGTCATTATGCCACAATGGTTTTTTAATTTATCTGCTATCAAATTGTTGTCAGCTCTTAGCAACTATATAGATAGTTTTTCTCCGTAACATCTGTCCTTAACCTGATCTTTACTAGGATTAGAAGCATTGAGTTTTTCCCCAAGTGTGATAGGACACAGAAGGAATTTGTCTTTGGTGCATATGCTGTCAGTGTACATAAAGAAAAACAAAATACATTCATCAAGAATCATAAGATACGACACTTAGTGATAGTCATAGGTTACTAATAAGCAATCAAATCATACTAGGAAACGAATAAAACAATATAAATTGTAAAGATACAAGCAATAAGGTTATAGTCATAAGTGGGAAGAGATAGGTACTAGGAAGGATGAGAATAATAATAATGCAGTCTTAATAAATAACTTGACAGTGTTGTGGGAATTAGTTGTTTAGCAGAGTGATCCCATTTGGGGAAAAACTGTCCTTGTGTCTAATTGTTCTGGTATGCAGTGCACTATAGCGTCGTTTTGAGGGTAGAAGTTGAAACAATTTATGTCCAGGATGTAAGGGGTTTGAAAAGGTATTAGCCAGCATAATTCTGGCTTTGGAGGATAGTCAGATGATACACGTGAGGGATTTCCAGTCTGCAAAAGAGTACTGGGAGGAGTTGCGCAGTGTCTATGTTAGAGAGGCTGTGGGCAGTAAGGTGTTGCTGACAAGGAGACTATATAAAGCACAACTGAAGCTGGGGGAGAACATGTCCATACATCTGCAGGCTATGAGAAAGACATTCCTGGAGGTAGGGGAAAGAGGAATGATGTTTACTGAGGCACACAAGGTGTATGTGGTGCTCAGTTCATTGGACAGTTCATAGGATGTTCTTGTAACTATCTTAGAGTCCATGCAAGAGATGGACTTAACCATGATGTATTTGACTGGCTGATTGTTGGAGGAAAAACAGAAATGGCTGGAGAGGTAACTAGGAAAGGAAGGAGATAATGTTCAACACAGGCCAACATCTGCAACATCTCAGGATGCTGGCAGAGCAGTTGAAACGGTTTTCACAGTGAAATGTTGCTACACGTGTGGTTCTACAGAACATCTCCAGAGACGCTGCCCTGAGAGGAGAAACAGAGGAGTAATGAGACAAGGACATAGGGCTACTCAACACATGAGGAGTGGTTCTCCATCATAATTTTCCCTGGCAGCAACAATATTTGAAAACACCAGGAACACTTGGGTGTTGGACAGTGGAGCAAGTCAGCATATTGCTAATAATCCACAGACATTTTCTGGCTTGAGACCAGCTAAGCAAACATTTGTTAGTTTGGCTAATGGTCAACAATCTGCTGTTAAAAGGGAAGATACAGTCTATGTACCTGAGATGATAGAAACATTATATAAT